GAACGTCAATGGCCGTCACCAGAGCCTTGCAGCAAGTTCCCGCTCAGGTGGTCCAATCTCAGAGTTCAGGAACACACACACACATATATATATATATACACATGTATATATATATATATAAACATACATATACATACATATATATGTATGTATATGTATGTATGTATGTATGTATGTATGTATACACATACATATATATTATGTACGAGTGCCACAGGATGTCTTGGCAGCCTGGATTTGGGAGTTGCAAGGACTTGTTTTCCCCAGATCACAACACAGCCTGCAGTTCACCCAGTGAAGGCTTCCTTTTACAACATGTTTAACCAGGCTAACAAATGGGATAGCAAACCTGTAGAGCCCGTAAGTCTAGAGCTCCAAACTCCATAACCGCAAGGTTCCAAACAAAGATGTATCAGGCAGCGGCTTCCGCAGTGATGGGCGAAGGCAGCCTATGTACGGCTAAGGACAACTTTGCGAGGCCAACTTGTGATTTTTCCACGCGCGCCGTGGGTTACATTCCGAAGTCAACCTGCGATGGAGGCGGGATCTCGTCAGTCACTTCAGCCATCATGAATCCGGGAGAGTTTGTGCCATGCAGAAGGGTGTCCAACATCGGCAAGTCGACGTTGTCAACTTGTGGCATGCTCAGAACATCGAAGTCGCGGGGAATCGACAACTTCCGAAGTAAACTCACCAGATTGACTGGGCTGATTCCCTCCATGACCATAAAAGTCTTCTGGGTGTTGTCCGCCTGGTTCTCCTGGCGGTGAGCACGTGGCACACATCCCGTTCGGGACTAGAAGCAAGGGCATAAGAACAGATACCGTCGTGTACACATGGCACCGAAAATCAAAACACAATGACCAAGAAGAGTCCAACACCTATTGAACACTCACGATAACAGCAGCAATCTAAACAAACAACGAACAACATGATCGTGATGCATATTGCAGCTACGATTATGCTGAGTATAGCTCTATAAGGACTCTACTCATATGATTAACATGATGCCAGAATGCGTTCCGCTTCGAACAAACGGGATAAACGTCTCAAACATACTGCGCGCATGAAACACAATGGACACACCGAAAGCACGGTCCAAAGGATCCGATACCAGCAGTCTCAGCATGATTTTATCTGGCTTTCGTGGAGATCTCCTCTCGTGCTCTTGGAACATTTTCGAGCTCGACTGCGCTTGGAGTGTTCTTCAACTGCACATTGCCGGCGTGAACCGTCACACAATCGTTGATAATCACGGCGAACATCCTAATCCATGGACCTTAAAATCATGTAAACACAAACGCTATATGAATAGTGTCTATTCATGCGAGGCTTGGGCACGGCCGCCCACTTTTCCAACGTGCGAAAACTTGGACAGCCCCCGTCAGAGGCGCTGAAGAAGCCGGCCGCCATGCCAAACCCTTGAAAGGCTCTCCAAGCACCCCAGATTTTGTTGCCGAACAGTGTGGTAATATGCGGTAATATATTATACTATAAAGGGGTTCTTATGGTATAGAACTGCTTGATTTGTAGGTACTTCGTGCACGCCAAAATGGACAGGGTGCGGTGCAAATCCCGCTACCAGTACTTAAGGCGGCAAATCTAAGCATCGTGTTTCGCACTTGTTGCTCTCGATTGCTCGTGGGCATTTGTGAAAAGCATTCGGGGCGTAAACCGGAATGCGCCGCAACTCTGGGGAAGCGTTTGCGTTTTCTCGTGGGGGTCTGCTTGGTTGTGGTGGTGGTCCTCGAGGTCGTGGGCATGATGGTCGCCGTGGTGCTCTTTCGCTGTTTGGGAATCTACGCGCGCATAACATGGCATAACACATGCACATGTACAGTGCACACACATACACATACGGACACTGTGACACGTGAATAGACGGCAATTGAAACATCAACTTAAACTTAAACATCTAGAACGGTTTTTGAAGTGCCTTCCTCGCTGCCTGCCTGGGCCCGCCGTCCAGTCCACATGTTAAACAAAAAAACAGTCACCGACCAGAACCAATGCTATGGAGCACAATAAATATGGGTACGATTGCGCCTCTGAGGAGATGAGGACCAGGTTGCCCGGTGCTTGGGCGACAACATTGGAGAGGCCTTAGCGTAGGGGCGCAATGCAAGGGCCCAACAACAGGCGGCCAGTGTGGGGGGCTCCAGAGCTTCGCGAGATCTCAGCAAGACCCCTGCAACAGCCCTGCAACAACCCGCAAGGGGACATGAGTGTCCCTAATCTTCCCTAGCTCGGAAAGTTAACGCAGGAACCCTCGATTTTTTGGCTTCTAGGACTTCGGGTCGGCTTGCCTAGGTGCCCGGCGCGGTGTCAGGTCAGTGACAGACTCCTGCTCGGGCTGGATGCTTGCACCACCTGTAATGACGCCTGCGACAGGCGACAGGCCAGCGCTTGTAAATGGACACATCTTGAAGTCTTCAGACTGGAGGGGTCTTCGATGGGTATGCGACTCATGCGACGCTCCAGCACGGCCCTGGGAGTGCTT